CAGAACTGAACGCGGGTTCTGATGAGAACAGTGTAAGCGTTCAAGCAAACCACTTCTGAAGATGCAAGCCACTCGTGCTTGCAAAACGTCAGGAATACATTCTACCGAACGACGGCCTAAAAACCCGAAAAACCCAATAGTTTCATTTTTTAGCTTTAATTACAAAATGTTGATAACCTTTTTTTAGATGTTAAAATTGTAGTCTCGGGTCACGTAAAGCTTTACCTCGCTTTAATAAGTGAGTTATAACTCGTTAACTCAGAGAGCGGCAACAACTCAACACAGTGTTACCCAGACCTAATACAAATTATTCAAACTGTTTTTGAACGAAATTATCGAGAAATAATCGAATCGAATCAGTTGGAAGAATTGGACGCAACCAACATGTTACAAGAACGCTACTTGCCTTCAATTCTTCGCACATTTTTTGCTTTAATGTTCTAGATTTGGCCGCAATTGATCCACTTAGCTGAAGCTGCTGAAGATCCAAGACAGTATGAGCAAGCTCAGGGGGCGGCCAATGCAGTTGGAGTGGCCGGCTGGTCCGACTCCGAAAAAGTCGTCCAACGTACTCGGCTCTGAAAGTGAAAGGTTTAGATGTTAACAGAGATAGAGAAACTGGCGAGTTTCATTTTTTAGTAGCCAGTTAACACATTTGCTTGATATGTAGGGTAATTTTGTGCAAAAGAATACTCACCATCCTTCTCGTAGTAACGCGTTATATCGGAAAAGGCCATATCTGAAAAACAAGTTTACTCAACACCAAGCCAACACCAGTCGAAGACTTTTTACCTCGGTCAGTGGTCTGGAAGATGAACGATTTCGAGATGGGGCTCCAGCCGAACTTGTTCCGCGCCTGTACTTTGGCCTCGTACTGCTGGCCCGGCTCCAGCCCTCTTATCACATAGCTCATCGACTGCACCCCCCTGTTAGTAGCTCGCGAAGCCGGCAAAATCACATTCCTCCAGTCCGAGTAGCCTTTGGAGGAGCGAGTGTAGCCCATGCCTATACTGTACCCCACTGCTGAGTAGGTGCGGTTTTCCTGCCAAGCAAAACGTTCGATTAAACCGTGCCAAAGTTCCCCAATTCCGTTTCTAACCGTCAGTCCAAACTTGCGCTGACTCTGCACGTGAAGCGGTTGAGGATGGTTGCTATCGTCCGAAATCCGGCGGAACAGCAGCTGATACTCTTCGATCGGACTGTGCGACTCGACCTCCCAGCTGATGTTGTAGCTCTCCCGATAATTCCCCGTGGACGAGCTCTTGAAGGTGGCCGCCTTTGGTGCTCCTGCAAATTTCAATCGGTGTGAAAATGTTGACAACGGCAATAAATCCGTCCTGCTAGTGGCTCAGCCGACGAAACAAGGTTTGTGCTTAAGCGGGCCGTAAATCTTACCGGTTAATTGGATGCTCTTTCTCGTTTTCCCAAGCTGATTGTCCGCCACGCAAGTGTAATTTCCAAAGTCGAGTCGATGCACTTTACGGATAACGAGCGTATGTCTAGACCCACGTGATTCCATTATCCTTTGCTCGGTCGTGTCTAGTTGCATCGTATCACGATACCATAAAACCTGGAAGGAATGATGGGTAGACTTTTAGGAGCTTCGCTTCACTCGGCCGGGATTTGTTGGCTCGGCGAACCTCAGACATAAAACATA